TATGCTTTTTGGAAAAGGGGGAAAAAAAAAAACCAACAAAAAAACAAAACCCAAAACATTTTGGCTTCCTACTGGAGTGAATCCCTGCAGAAGGCATGCTGCATAGGGAGAAGCAGCTCTCTGTGCTCTCAACAGCCTGGAGTTATTTACTGGGAGCACATGCTCTGCAAACCTCCCCACACCCTGCTGTACAATATTGTTAGCTGTGCATGGTTTCTGTTTCTTTTAGTATTTTCTGTTTATGAGTATTCTTATGCATCTGCATTTTTTTTTTTGAGAGTAACAAAGAAACAGCTGCTTATTTTTGTGGAGGGCTTAAATGCAGAACATTGTTCTCTCTTGGCTTTATTTAATTTTGGGAGAGCACTAAAAATGACATGCGTTTACGCTGTGTTCCCAGAGCAGACGCCGTGCTGTGCATGCGCGGTCGCCTCGGGTAGAGTACACGCGAATGTGCTTCTATGGGCATAAAAGGAGCTGCAAAAACACGAGTGCCAGTGACCTCCCCAGCACGCTGGCTGGTCCTGCACGTGTTCCGTGCTCAGTTCCTTCCTGCTGAAGATGCAGCAGCGATTAGGTGATGGGTAGAGGCTATTCCCCACGTAGTGCTGTGTGGGATCTGCTTAATCATATCATGATGATCAGCTTACCACCAGCTAACTCCATCCCTGCCCTGGTCCCAGATGACTGGTCCAGTGCACCGGACCCATTACGCTGAGTTGCTTTGATTCACTCTCAGAAAACTGTTCGGCTCTGCTGGATTGCATCCCAGCCTGTGCTTAAAAACCTCCTGGGCACAAGGGAAGAGGCTGGATGGCACCCGGGAGTGGGAAGGTGCAGAGGGAAGGCCCTCCCCCCTCTCGTGGGCAAGCTGTGGGGTTGACTAGGCTGTCTTGTGCAATTTCACCCCAAGTCTCCATCAGCTGGCTTTGGATTTATGTTGGTGGGAAATATCTTCAAGTGCGGGGCAACAATAACTAGCAGTGCTTGTTAAATGGTGGCCGGCAGTTCCCATCGGTGCTGCTTCGTTGCTGTATGAAGTTGTGGCTTTGGGAGCTCCGAGCTTCCAAGTGAGGCGGAATTCTCATCTAGTTGAAAAAGAAAAACCTTTGGGGGAACTAATAAAAATGTTTATGTTTCTTTAAGCCTGCGGTGTTTGCTGTGGGTTTGGCTCTCGGTGCTATACACTTGACTGCTCCGAATGTGTGTCGAGGTTACTGTCACCCCACGGCACAAGCAGAGCCCCTTGGGAGCCGCGTGGCCTTGATGCCAGCAGTGCCAGGGCTCGGACCACCCCGTCCAGCCCCTTAATTCTCCACCAGCATCTTATTCCGACCCTGAAATACCAGCACCCGTGCAGGGCGCCGCAGCCCCGGGGGTTAGCAGGGAGCGAGGGACTGGGCTGGCTCCTTGCTAGTGTGTAATTGCCCCGCTCAAGCTCTTCGCTAGCGAAAAGCAGACAAAACAGCTCAAATCCTGGCAGGTGCCCAGCGCGGGCAAGACGAGGCATGGCACACGCAGGGTGCAGCGGGTGCCGTGGGATGGAGCCCGTGTTGGGACTCTGCTTTAGGGTACTCGGCATTGCCCGTAGAAAGGCGGTGTGTGGTGGGGAGACCCAACCTGTCCTGCTCCCGGGGAGACCGCTCACACCACCGAGTTACCTATCCGTCGGTCTTGTCTTGGTCCGTGTCCATTCAACCTTGATTTTTAAAATGTTTGTTCTTAGCGCTGATGGAGAACTTCAAAAACAAACAAAGAAAAATCTTATCACCGTTTTTCTTAAGCCTGTCCTAATCTCAAACCTCAATTCCTTTGGAGGCCCCTTTTGAGAACGCAGGGCTCCAGTGACCGGGTGCAGGTTTTCTTTGCAGTGTTTTTTAACTTCGTAATATATCCAGTGTCTCTCCGATTTGTGCGTGCTTCGTTCGTGTCGCACACGCAGCGGTTGCGGCTCACGGCAGACCCGAGGCCCCTCTGGAGGGAGGTGCGAGTGGGTGAGTGCCTCTGGTAAAAGCTCCAGCCCAAAACCTCTGTTTGCTGCTGGGCTGTAACGTCGCTGCCCTGCAGAGACCTCGCACCCACGGGCAATACCCGCAGCTGTAGGGACGTCGCTTAGGGCTATTGCCCTGCAGAACAGACTAATACACAAAATGAGGTTTATCACTTGAACAAAAAACCCACTTTTTTTTGTATGTACTTGCTTATAATAGCAGATGCTCAGCAGCTCGTTGGGCAGCAGCTGGCTTTCCTAAGGAAAGAGGCTGGTTAAGGAGCATTCTGGATTGAGCCCATTGCTGCTGGGTGCGGGTGCTGGCTGCTTGTAGCTCAGTGGGTGCCTGAACAAGACACCCAGATCCCTCCTGCTCCTTCCTTGTGTATTTATTCGTTTCCACGTGACAACAGAGGGTCATCTTTCTTGGGTGTTTTGCTCCAAGCGTAGACTCTATCACAAAAATTACTTTATTTGAAATTGCATCCTTGTCCTTACGGAGGTCCTGGTGTTGCGGTAGGCTGGCTGCACGGAGTGAAGCAGGTAGGACCCTTGCATGAGGGTTCAAAGGCAGCCCTGACCTGTAAGCAGGCTCGCAGAGCTTTCTGTGGCATGTTTGGCGTCAATGGCTTTGCACAGCTGTGAGGTAGGAGAACTTGGTCTGAAGTATTTTGAACATTATTCACTAAAATACAAACTTTGGACCTGTCAGACATTACAATACTGATTCCCAAGCTGCTGTCACATCAATGCTGTATCTCAAACTAATGAGTTCTTGGAGTGCAGCTCTGTTTCAAGCCCTCAGTTATCTCCATGGCTAGCGTAAAATGCTAACATAAAGATACTGCCAAAATAATTTTAAATAAACCAGAATCTAAAAATAGGAAACAGCTAAGAGCCCCATTTGTGAACGGCTTATTCTCCAAGGAAGCTACAATCTGGTTAAGATCAGCGCAGGGAGAAAAATCTGTCAGACATCTAGACAGCATTGAATAGACAAGAACAAAATACAGCTGTCCTGGGTCAAACTGCAGGTCTGTTAGTCCAAAAGCCTGCTGGCAGCTGGGGCTGTGGGGTGGGCACTGACCGAAGCGGATAACAACAGGCAAGTGCATGGAGATGCTTCCTTGGAGGTGCTGGTTGAGCTTCTGGTTGATTTTTCTGGTGGGTCTGGCAGCTTCTGAGGCTGTTAGAAGGACCCTAATGCTCTGTGAACTCCATGTCTTCTTACAGGGGTTCAAAAAACCAACAGGACAAATGCACACCAGGGAAGAAATAAACCTGTCCTGGGGTGAAAAGTCCTGTGTCGGAGCTTTACGGCTACTTTGGCTGTGCTCAGAAATACCTCCTCTTGTTTGCTCTGAGCTGAGTCACAGGGGAGCCCGTGAGCAGGGACGGAGTTGGCCGGGCAGGTTTGTTAGAGCAAAATCACCCGGCTGAAACTATTGAAGAGCAAATGGCAAATGCTGATTTACTCTGACAACGCAACAAAAGCCTTAATTCGGGCTGCCAGTTCTACTTAAGTGTAAAAAGTGGTTTGGAGCTCCTCGAACACCTTCAGGTTGATTTTTTTCGGTGGTATGGGCGGCTGTAGCGTGCGGCAGGGCTGTGTTACGCCGGGTGCTCTCTGCCTCTCGCCGGTTGTTCCACCGGCCTCGGTCCTGTGAGCAGCCCCAGTGCGATCCACAAAGGGCTTCGGTGGTAAGACTAAATCCTCTCCAAATTCCCTGTGAAAACAGAACTGCAGAAAACGAGTCAAGATGATAACAGGGATGATGGATGCGTGCCTCCCTTTCTAAAAGACTGCTTGTCTAACGATGGTCTGCGGTGGTCAGGGGGCTTGTGGGCACCGTGGAGTGGGCGGCCAGCACTTGGTCTCAAACGATCAGAAAAAAACATACCTGGTTTGTTAGCGTCTGGTTGCCACCATGCACTGATGTCAGCTATGCCCGGGGGACATGGAGGATAGAGCAGTGATCCTGTTGCCTGGATCTTTTGAGCGGGGTGTGATGGAGCAGAGAGCCATCGCCTGAGACGGGGGATTAGACCTGTGTAAATCATGAGTAAACAGAATCAAAGCACCATCACACTCTAAATGCAGTGAGACCCCAATCCCCAAAAGTCAGACTCGCTGTACTTTCTCACTTGATAAACCATGTGGTTGGTTAGCGGAGCGTTAGCAGATGCTCTGAATGATGGAAGAGGAAATTAGAGGGCAAGCATGTAGCTATTAAGAGTTTAAACAGACACATTTACCTGTCCTGCCTATGCCTTGCATCATTTTATATTATTGCAAAAATTAAAAACACATTTGGGCTGATGTAAATGAAATGGTGATTTCTCAAGAAACTCTTTTATGGGCTGCAGGATTGGTCTTATGGCTGACCACAAACAGTACCTGGACCTGTCATTAGTTCCTCAGGAAAGAAGTTACGAGTTGTATAAGGTTCTGGCATTCTTACAAAACCAGAAGGAAAGAGTTGTGGAGACTTAACGAGCTGCGCAATATTCCATGCAGGGCTAGAAAGAGACAAGTCATTTGAATGATGGTCAGGAAAAACTGATGTCAAATGTAACCTCTCCACAGGAAACAATTAGGATGACTGCTCATCTTCTAATTACGTAGTTAGCCAAAGAGGAAGGTTTCATCTGCTCTTTAGGGATTGACCCTCACCGCATGAAGGAGTGTAAAGCATCTCTGGAAAGAGCGTATTGCATTATGTCAAGCAAGAGATGAATCTGAAGAGAGGACCTGGTCACACACTGACTGGGGTTGGCAGAAATCTCTAATTTAGAAGAGCATTGTTGTAGAGGATGGCCTTCGGAGAACTGCGGCTGACGCAAGAGACCTGGCTCTGACATCCAGCCTCTGGTAGATGCTGTTGGTGTAGGCAAAAACGCATGTCTTCTCCAGAAATAACTATTCCCTTTATCTGCTGCTTATTCCAAACACAGGACTTTTTAAAATTGAGCATTCTTTTAAGTAACCCTTTTATTTTTTCCTGCCTAGATTAACCCTGGCAGTAAAGCAGCCATGGCAAACCTGTGCCCAGGAGATATTATTCTGGCAATTAATGGAGAGAGCACAGAGAACATGACACACCTAGAAGCACAAAACAAGATCAAAGCATGCATGGACCAGCTACTGCTCTCCGTGAACAGGTAGGTCCTCTTCGGTTTGGTGTGCTCGTGTGTCAGCTTTGCTTGGCTCTTCTGCAGAAAGCTTGTGGCTCAACCCGGAGCAGATGTGCCCTGAGGCTCAGCTCTTGGTGCATCCCCGTGGTCTGTGTAATCGTTCTGCATTTTTAAAAACAGCAGAACAAAACTATTTTTTAAAGATCACAGATATAAAAAATGGGTTCAGTTCACTTATATGTGTGGATTATCATCTGTACCTTGCAAGGCTTGTCTGGGCCGTGAGCTGGGTTGGATCCTTCAACCCAATGGAGGTTTTATCACCACAAGCAAGAGTAGCAGTGGGACTGAAATCTCCTTTGGGCAAAGCCTCCCACTTCATTAACATCCACCTATTATTTTCCTAAACATCTGTTCAATGAATATACATTTGAAGGTCCTGCCAAGTTCACTTTTTTTAGAATATTTAAAGCAAAACAAAGGCTTGGGGGTTTTTTTGCTTTGCATTGGAATTAATTCTGTAGCTAAAGGTTCCTAATACAAATCACAAATTACCCAGGCAAAATGAGTGCTCCTTGTAAGGCTCACAAATAGCTAATGTTATCTGTAGTAGATTTAAATAAGTGTATACAATTTTCTACTTCAGATTAAAAAGGCATTTCCTGCTATCAAGAGCAATCATTTACTGTTTATACTTTTCTTGGAAAACATGTAGTTTCTGACTGGAAGCCGGGGCAGCAGGGAAGGAGCACTGCCATAAACAGAGCAAAGCCTCGTTGGTTCCTCATGGTTCATCAGAGTGGTGTCCGAGCCACCCGGCCAAAGCAGAGTCCCCTGAGTTCAGCCCATGTCGTAGGGATGGTGGGGCTTCAGCATTAGGAAAGAAAGAAAAAAAGAAAAACAAGAAAAACCTTCACGCAGGTAGAATTTCTCATAGCCAAGGAGGACAGTCATTTTGCTTTCTATTTGGAGCAGTTTTAGGGAGACTGCGTGGTCTTCTACCCCAAACGGGGGCTGTACCCAGGGTAGGACAAGGGTTCCCTTCCTGGCTGTCTGCAGGCTGGTGGAGCTTTCCTTGGAAGAGGTGGAAATCTTTGTGCAGTGATGGAAGGTTTTGGTGAGCTACCAGCTGCTGAGGTGGTTTGGCAGCAGAACAACTTCGTCAGGAATTAGAATAAAGTTCTGCTGGAAACAACTTTCACCTGCAGTGTGGCAGCGTTTTATTCTCATGGATGAGGGTTTCTACTGTGTGAACTTATGGGCTGAATTCCCGCTTTTACACCTCGTTTTAGCCACCGGTATCAATTAGCATCTGTTCATTGGCTGAGACTGGACCCTCGAGTACTCCTCCTCTGTGGGAGGCAGGCGGTACGTGCCCAGCTTTCTGCTGGTGTCCTCCCAGTCCTTGTGGTTAGGAACTGGTCCTTGGGTCTTGCTGCTGGTAGCTGCGACCATACTGGTGGTGGTAGCTGCCATGTGAGCGTACGCGGTGTCTCCTCTCCAAAGAGGTGACTTCTTGCACGGACGCAGGGCAGGGGTTGTGGCGCACTGGTACAGCTCCGCTCCTTCACGAGAGGAGCAAGATGGAGGTCTCGCAGCACTGCAGGGATGTGCCTTGGTGGGGTTAAGGGTGATCTGTCTGTCTTGCTTCCCTGAGATGCAGAAATGGTCGTTAATGACCTCGTGGTGGTCTTGGAAGCTGCTGTGTGGAAGACTCCTGGCAGCAGGAGGGTCTGTGGCTTCAGGTTGGGTTTGCCCAACTGCACCTACCAGGACAGATATTTTTAACTGAGAGACCTTGCAGTGTGCCCAGAGGAGTGGTGGGTTCTCTATAGCAGAGGTTGCTGGTGATGGCCCACAGCCTTGCAGTGGTGCAGGGTTCGTGGGTGAGGTGGCTTGGGCTTTGCTAGACGGGAAGATAGGCAAGAGGATTGCAAGGGTTTTGTCAGGTCTTAAAATCTGTGTTTATGAAGACGTTAAAGGCTCTTGTGTCTCATAGGCAAAAATAAATGCTCAGGCTTCTGCAAGATAGGAACAGACAGGAGCTGGTGACGGTGAGGAACTGTTCAGCGTGGGGTGGCTCCTCTCGGGGAGGAGATCGCACTGTTGGGTCGGTTGGGTGGCTCCTCCAAGAGCAAAACACACCTTGGCTGTGCCCAGAGAAGCCTGTGGGAGTGGCCTTTCTCTTGATAGGAAAAACTGAATAGTTTATTTTTTCTACAGCAAGGACAGCAGCTCCAGTAATGCTTTATTAGGTCTATTTTTAGTTTGGCCCAAAGTGAGTGCTCGGTGACATGGCTCTTGGATCTCGCTCCCCTGTTTCCCGAGTGACTTGTTGGATCCAGCTGACTCTCCCCAGCTGTTAGTCATTGCTGGAAGCGTGTCCAGTGCTACCTCCTTGGTGTGAGCAGATCCCTGGTCCAGGACCTGCCTCCTGGAGAGCGGAGTGACCTGGTGCTGGGGAGGGAACCGTGTCCTGGGGCAGTGACGGGGGGATTTTGTTGGTTTGTGTGCGTGTCCAGCAACTGCCGTTTGTGATGGCTGCAATCACTGCCCTGGACTCTGCTATGAGGCTGAGCTCCAGGAAGGCCCCAGGTGCAGAGGGGTGGATTAGTATCTCCTCCCTGGGGCAGAAGGATGCTCTCCAAGCAGTGTTCTCTCTGTACACTGCCTTCAACAAAATATAGTCAACAGAAGGAGAATTTTTTTTTAATTAAGTGTGTTTGAAATATATTTGAAACAACAAGTTTGTTTGTATGTCTTTAGTGAAGATATATGAAATTCAATGTTAATTGTGTTTTACCAGAGGAGGCTCCCTCCAGCCGGGCGTTTATGGTGAGGGAGGGCAGGGAGCCAGGCAGCGAGCCTGGCAGCGAAGGGCTTCCAGCCTTCTGGGCTTCTTCCATCTCATGCCCTTTCTCCATGAACCCTTGACATTATGTGTTACTGAGGTAGAGAACAAGATTGGTTTTGTTTTCAAACTGTGGTCAATAAATGCCCTTTGAGTAGAAAGTTCAGTAGGAAAATCAGAATGGGGGGAAAACGTGCGGAGGAGGACAAGAAGGGGGAGTTACTGTGTGGTTTGATGGGACGTCCTGAGACCGATGTGGCCCGTCTGGGTTTCGGAGGTGTTGGGGATGCGGAGAGCCCATTGAAGCTGGTGGCAGGAGATGCTGCTTATCCCGTGTATCAAATTTGCTTCATTAAGAAATTTGGATACACTGGTGGGGGAACAAGTAATGAGCCACAAGGACTGACTGACTGTGGGTAGAATAAACAATTAGAGTGTAAAACTTTCCCATGCAGCGCGGGCAGTATCTCTCCCCCGTACTTGGGAGGGAACAACTGGAGTAAGTGGGATTTCTGCTGTGATGCAAACTTTATCCACGGTCAGGCGTGACCATGTGGCTGGACTGTAAATAGATTGGCGCATGTATCGTGTTAGCACAGTCTGGCATTAGGAATGTCACACTGGGTTTGATGGTTTTTCTCTTACCCAGCTGCATGGCAGAATCTGTTTATCTAGTCGGTGCGGAGGGAGAAAAACGGAGAGATTCTGATCAAATGTGAACGTGTAATTTCCAAACACCATAATGGCAAGCAGCACCCAGAGCGCTCCTCCCCGTGGCTCTGCCGGCCGGAGGACCGTGCCAGTGGTTGGGAAGCACATCTGCCGTGGCTTCGCTCGCTGGGAGCGGTGCTGAGCTCCTGGGGAACTGGGGGCTCCAGTGGTATCAGGAGCCCTGGGGAAGTGGAGTTTTGAGGCAGCAGGAAAGATTCACGGTGCAAACGGCACGGCTGTGTTGGCAGAAGGGAACCACGTCGTTTCCTGGTGTATCTGGCACGGTTGCGTGACAGCTCCTGGGAAATTGGAGGAGTGCTTGTTTTCTCTCCTTGGGACACTCCAGTTTCCCTGGACTGGTTATGAACCCCGCAGGAGACAGGGCTGGGGAGGTAGCTCTGAAGATGTGGGCTGCTGGCTTGCAAAGAAAAGCAGGGCTCAGGGCAGCTCTGCGTCTGATCTTCCACATAATTTTGGGGAGGCTGAGCAAGGCAGCGTCTGGAGGGTATCGGCAGCAAAACACACAGCACGGTGAGATGCTGGCAGAGCCCGGGCGTTCTGTCTCCAGACAGTGGTAACCTTGGATGGAAAAACTGTTTTATTTTCTAACAGTAACAAAGGATCCAGCAACCCAGGCTTGACAAATCACATCTGGATTTTCTGTAGTGATGTATGTTCGTGTGAACAAGTACTTGCGTATTAAAATCAATATTATTTCTTGCAATCAACCCTTTCTTATTCTGGAAGACAGTCAATGTCTGGGCCAGTGCACATAACAAGCCTAGGGCCCAGAGATAAACCAGCTCAGCAGCGCAGCTTGCTCTGTTCTTGCTTAAGTATTACTGTGTATTTTCTTATCTCTTTTTTTTAAAGAAAGCCTTCCCAGCTCCTTTGAATGTTAACATCTCTTGTGGTTATGCTGCAGCCCTAGTTATTAGGGAAGACTTGTTGCTTCAAATCGGATCATGCCTCAGATAAAAGCAGCCATAAAATTGAGTTGGAGCTGTGCTTTGCTGAAACCACCGCTTGAGAACAGAGGCTTGAGTGCCCAGAGGACCTCGGGCACTGGACAGGAGACCTTGTGGCATCAGCAATGCTGTTCCTGCTGACGCACACCGCTGGAAAGTCCTTGGCAGCACTGTCCAGACCTGCCTGTCTGTGCCAGAGGGGGAAGGCGAGCCCGAAAGCTTTTTCTGAAGCTTTTGTCATCTGCCAGCTGGGAGTATGAAGGCTTGTGCTGCATCCTTCTTGGAGGAGTTGGCCCCAAGTCCACATGGGGAAAACTGCTGGGAAGGGACGTTACAGCTTTTCAAGTGTGTTGGGGGCTGTGGCTGCCCTGTGTCCCCTGCAGCCCGGAGTCAGTGCTGGTATCTGAGGCTGCCCCTGCTCTCAGGCTATACTAACATGTATTTCTTTTTTTAAAAAAATCTCTACTCTGTCCTTTATCAAGGACTTTAAGCACTCT